GGATCCTGCTAGCTGTAGCAGCATACCATGACTATGAGATTTGGCAAATGGATGTCAAAACTGCGTTCCTGAATGGAGATCTTACTGAAGATATCTACATGTAGCAACCGCAAGGTTTCATAGCTGCGGGTCAGGAACACATGGTATGTAAGTTAAATAGATCCATATATGGACTTAAGCAAACTTCTAGGAGTTGGAACATCCGGTTTGACTCTACCGTCAAAAAGTTTGACTTTGAGCAGAACCTGGATGAGCCCTGTGTTTACAGAAAGTCCAGTGGGGATAAGGTTACGTTTCTGGTTATGTATGTAGACGACATTCTACTCGTTGGGAATGATGTAAGAATGTTGACTACGGTTAAAGTATGGCTTTCACAGCAATTCTCCATGAAAGATCTTGGATAAGCCTCCTATATACTGGGTCTTCGACTCTATAGAGATAGATCGAAGCAGATAATAAGATTATCCCAATCTGCTTACATTGACAAAATTGTCAAGAGATACAGCATGGAGAACTCCAAGAAGGGAAATGTTCCTTTCAGGCACGGGAGTCACTCTCTCCAAGAAGATGTCTCCCAAGACTTCTGAGGAGATTGAGGGCATGAAGGACGTTCCCTATGCCTCAGCCGTAAGGAGCATCATGTATGCCATGCTGTGCACTCGTCCTGACATTGCTCAGGCAGTGTGACAAGCAGATTCCAGGCCAACCCAGGGCAGGAGCACTGGACCGCTGTGAAAAATATATCGAAGTACCTTCGAAGGACAAAAGAATTTTGTTTGGTATTCGATGGTAGCTCACTACAGATCCAGGGGTATACTGATGTCGATTTCCAGTCGGATCCAAATGATAGAAAGTCTACATCTGGGTATGTTTTCACGATAGGATCGTGTGCTGTTTGTTTGCTGGAAAAGCAGTAAACAGGGGTCCACGGCAGACTCCACAACCGAAGCCGAATACATTGCCACAAGTAGCTGCCAAGGAAGCCGTGTGGATGAAAAAGTTCGTTCACGAATTGGGAGTAGTTCCGTCCAGCACATCACCCATCCCGTTGTGTGACAACAATGGAGCGATTGCTCAGGCTAAGGAGCCATGAGCCCACTCGAAATCTAAGCACATCGAGAGGAAGTACCACGTACTGCGGGAGATTGTTGGTAGAGGGGACGTCTTGATTCAGAGGGTAGCATCAACGGAGAATGTAGCAGACCCATTGACTAAGCCACTGACACAAAAAGTGTTTGAGAAACACGTGGAAAGTATGGAACTCCGGCTTATACCAGATTGGACCTAAGTGCAAGTAGGAGTTGTTAGACAGTTGTATGCCCTTGGCTCCAATCAGATTGATGTACTTATGACATTTATTGTAAATGAATAAAGTGCATATTTGATTCATGTTCTTGTGGTGTGTTTCTGTGTAATACCCTTAAACTGGACACTTAATGAGACTCGTGTTAGTTTAAGGGTATTACACAGAAACACACCACAAGAACATGAATCAAATATGCACTTTATTCATTTACAATAAATGTCATAAGTACATCAATCTAATTGGAGCTAAGGGCATACAACTGTCTAACACTCCTTCCCGGGAACATCTGTGGATATAGGAGGCATCTGACCAACTGAACGATTCTCCTATCTGAAACTATAGTCACTAGTCAGGGCATCATTGGCCCAAGTTGAGGGTGGATCATACAAGTCATAGCAATAATTAATGGTATGTCCATCCATACCACAATGAGTACATCTCCTCGGACCCGAGCCACGTCCTCTGCCACGAGCTCCCCCTGAATCTCTATCTCCAGTACGACCACCACCACAGTTATATGTAGGTCCACCACCACCACTCCGGCCATATACCGGACCACTGCTACCACCACGGCCCCTTGACACTGCAAAGGCTAATCTATCAGAGACATTAGAGTTCTCAGTAGATCCAATGGAAGTCCTCCAAAGTCAAGCAAACACCTCTTCTAAGGAAGGGAGAGTTGACCCTCCTAGTATCTGAGCCCACACTGGTTCATACTCAGATTTCAGCCCCACCAAAAATCGAGTCACATCAAGTTGTTCTCTCTGTTGTTGCTGAATTTTGACATCAGAAGTGAGGGG